GTGGGGAGGGAGGGAGAAGGGAATTGTGGGGTATCATGATTGGTGCACAATCATGGTGCGGGGGAATCACAGGGAAGACAGTGTAGCACAGAGAAAACAAAGAGGGACTCTGTGGCATCTTACTACACTGATGGACGGTGACTGCAATGGGGTGTGGGGGGGGGGTACTTGATAATAAGGTTGAATGTAATAACCACATTGTTTTTCTTGTGTAACCTTCATAAGAGTGTATATCAAAGATACCTTAAAAAAATAAATTTAAAAAAATCAAGCTGACTAAATACATTGTTATAAAGCAAAATATTTTTACATAAGGAATAATGGAGACTTAAAGAAAAGTGTACCACTAGTTAGAGGGGTTACTTCCTCCCCACCACAGCCATAAATAAGTTGGCACCCCAGTGACCACACTAAGTTGCTCCAAACCCCACCCAGCCCTTCTGCCAGGCAGTTTGTGGTGTAAGCCCTGGCTCTGGCATGGACCTGGAGTCCCCCAGCCCTGGGGTCAGGGCCCACACAGCTCCAGCAGAGGTGTGGGTGGGGGAGCATGGACTGTAGACCCACATATGCTCAGCAAGCCTCCTCGGGCAAGTTACAGAATCAGGACTCAACTGCCTCATCATGAAATAAGGAGAATGACAAATTCCACCTCAAAAGCTCATAGTGAGGCTCAGAGAATGAATAAGAGCTGCCTGACATAGGCCGTCTCAGGTAAGGGCTGGCCAAGACCAGCTACCGTTTAGTTGTTAAAGGCTCCCAGCAGTCGCTGCGTGGCCCCCAGAGGGCCTGGTGAGAGGCCGCCTCAGGGCTGGAGGAAGCAAGCACGCCTCCAGGGCGGAGGGAAGCTCCTGCAGGTGCCATCCGCAAGTGCACAGGGGCAGGAGGAGGCCGCCCAGGAGAGCGCGGCCCACCGAACAATCAGGAAGAACAGAGTCCTCCTCGGTAACAAGGGCGAATGTAATGACCACATTGTTTTTCTTGTGAAACCTTCATAAGAATGTTTATCAATGGTACCTTAATAAAAGAAAAAAAAAAGAACAGAGTCCTCAACATCAAGGAAGGCCGAGGACCTCCTTTTAAATGAAAAGCCGCCTCCAGGTGTAAAGTGCGTCTCGGCTGCCTCTGCCCTCAGCTGTGTGACACTCTAACATTCTGGGAGCCTCTCTGACCCGCTCAGCAACCAATGGGGCGGAGAGCCGGCGGTGACCAAGCACCACCACAAGCCGGAGCCACGCCCAGCACCTGACAGCCCAGCCCCCGTCAGAGAAGGCTCTGCTCCCGTTGCGTTTGCTGACGTTACCATGTGCTCAGCTCGAAGCAAGTGGTCAGTGCCTGTGGCCCACCATCAGATTCACCCAAACACAAAACAAGCTGTAATATTCACTTTAGGGGTAGAAGAATCCACTTAGTTCTATAAACACAGCGATGCTTGGGGGAAATCACATGCTCTGTGTCAGCCACACTGAGGCAAAGCCCCACCTGCACACCAGCGGTTCAGTCCCTGCCCCAGGCAAAGTGCCCCCCCTACCACAATGGTGGTCTTCGGGTCCTTGCCGGCCAGCTCCCTCACTGCCATCTCCTCATCAGGCTGTCCAAACATGAAGTAATTTGGATAAAAAGCACCTGCCAATACAACCTGAAAGAGAAACTTCCTTTCATGAAGTAACAGCATTATTTTATTGGTTTGTCTCATCAATATACTAATCTCCTCCCAGAATGATGTGACATTTATAAAGGAAAAGAGGAGTTTATATTTGAAAAAACTAGACCTTTTCTCAATCAAGCAGAAAGTCACAATTTTGGTTTTTCGGCCGCAACAGGAACGTGGTAGACATGACCTTTCATGGCCTTTCTTCAAAGGGCCTTGGGTCCTTCTCAGAGCAAGGTTTAGGAAACAGTGGTGAGTCGGACATGAGTACAAATGATTGCATACACATAGACCCCAGGGACGGTCAACTTTTCCGCCTCATCCCCAGCAAACTTATTTCTATGGGTCAGGCACTTTTCCCAGATTAAAATAAAACTCCAATTGATACACTTAGACCTTGAGCAGCAGGCTGAGCCCTCTTCCAAAAAGCCCTCTGCAAGGGTCCCTTCTTCAATGCAAACATACCATTTCAAACACGCACCCATGGAAAACCCTCCCCATCCTTAAAGCAGCTTGACATCTAGCGCCATCCTGTTTGCAGGCCTTCCTAGAGCCCGATTTTGTGCGCATGGGCTAGCAGTGACTCGCACAGCCACGCCCCTCCTCCCAGTCCACGTGCGAAGCACTCACCCCTCCCCAGGACGCGCTCCTGTCTACACGATGTCTGTAAGGCTCCATCCAACAAGCCAATCTGACCATGGCCTCCGAAGTTAAAATAGTATTTTTGGCAGAAGGGAAAAGCTGCCTACACCTGAATAACACTAAGAGCATTTTCACTTTCTTCAAAGCTGAAACAAAAGGATCTTTCCTGGAGCAGTACTGACATCCGGTGCTCTACAGAAACCCTCACCTGCAGATCAGAAATGGTTCTGGCTCATCAACTCAATGACATGGAAAACCTACACTACGCAAGACAAGATGTCTTCCTGTTTTCAAGAGCAGTATGAACACTCTGGCCCTAAAATCTCTTCGGAGGCATCATTTGTGTCATAAAGAAGAAGGATGCACTTTCTCAACCACAAGACCTAGTAGGCAAAGAGAATCATACCCAGGGGGCCCCAGCACACCTGTAGGATGAATCGCTGCTTGTGCTTATACTCCTGGTCCGTGACAGGCTGCTGAGAACCAACATACATGTTGAACTGTGAGATTCTGTTCTTCAGGTCTTCGTATAATTCAGCCACCTAAGGAAAACACACTGAAATATGATGCCTCCAAGCACTCATATGCTACTCAGAGTAGTAGAGACGCTAGAAGAGAAGTGCACGTGGGGAGAGCATCAGCACAGCTACAGATCAGACACTGCAGCTACTCAGCCATCCTGCAAGAGACGACTAGGAATGGAAAGGACGCTCAATGCAGTACTGACAGAGAATACCAGGAAACAAAACTATGTGCTTCACGATCCCACCTTACAGACCCAAACACGCACACAGGGGAGCACCGCAAACGTGCGCCCATGGCCGCGCATGCCTGTGGAGAGAGCGTCTCCCAGGAGGTGCTCTGCTTTTGTGACTAAACACAAGCTAAGTAACGAATGGCTAAACAGTCACTCTGAACAACAACAAAAACACCTAGTTGCAATGAAAACGCTTTCACACAGATCAAACTTGTACACACATACGAGAATACACACTCCAAATACCTATGAACTTACCATAAATGAAGTTACCACAAAATTACCTCGATAAATTCAAAAAGCAAGCAACCACACAAACCACAGGAGTGAACCTAATTAGAAATAGAAAAAAACAACTGAGGAGAAAGGACGGAAAACCTCCCGAGCCACAACATGTGAGGAAGGCAAGGCCTGGGGACACGGAAGCAAGGGCCGAGCCTGTCCGCACTTACCTGTGTTTCCATGTTTCTGAAATCTTACACAAGCCACCTATAACCTCTCTAATTAAAAATCAATTTAAAATTATGAAAGTTAATTTCTCTGACCAAAATTCAATAAAATCAGAAACTTAAAACACAAGATATCTAAAAATATTTCCTTCTATCTGGCAACTCAAATATTCTTAAAACTCTTGAGTCAATAAGGAAACCAACACTAAAAAAGTCAAAGGCAAGGATAACAATGACCCTGCACATCAAAGCTGGCAGGCCAAGACCCAAACTGTGTGCACAGGAAAATTCGCAGATTTCAATGCTTTTAACTAGAAAGACTGAAAATATTAATGAATATTCATCTCAAGAAAACCAAAGCAGTAACAGACACAGAAGAACTAAATTAACAGAAAAAAGCATAAACCAATCAGTTAAAATCCTCCACCTTTCTTCTCCCCAATCCCAAAAAAACCCTACACAAACTGACAAATCAAATCAGGAGTAAATTCACTGAAAATAACAATAAAATAAGCTAAGCACCTTGTAAAATTGTGCAGTAAAGTATTAATCTGGCAGGCCTGGGTTGTCCACACCCAGCACATTTCAAAGAAAGGTTCAGCTCCTTGGAATATCCTGCCTCAAAAGAGCGTCTCTGCTTACCTGAGGCCTTAGACACAAGAAATCGTTTATGGCAGCAATGACTAATGGCGGGGATCTTGGGCCATGCAATATCAACGTGACCTCCAGAGGGGCTAAAAACCAGGTCAATAAGGTCAGCCATGCAGGCACCCCAAAGCTGCATGACCAACCCTTAATAGAACCCTGGACTCCGAAGCTCGGGTGAACCTTCCGGCTGGCAGTGTCCCATGTCTGCCGCCACACGGGGCTGCGCAGGACTCGTGGTGCCTGCAGACGGCACTGGGGGAAGACGGTGGAACCCTGCACATGGCTTCTGCAGACTCTCCCCGCACACCTTTCACCACGGCTGTAACGTGTGCTGCCAGCTGTAACAGACGTGACCCCAAGGATACCAACTGTTCTGAGCTCTGTGAGGTGTTCTAGTCAACCGCTGAACCCTCAGGTGGTCCTGAGGACCCCCTGACCCCCAAACACACAGATCTAATCAAGAAACAAAGGGCAGACAACATTCAGAATGAGAAAAATGATGTTACCACTTTTGAAGTTGTAAGAATATTTCTTATAACTGTATGTAATTACATTGTATAAAAACATACATAATTAATTACATATATAATTGTACACATTAAACATAATACGTATTACATATTATACATAAATATATATAAGTAAATATTTGTGAGTTATTATGTAGACATAATAATTGTATTATAAATATATAACATATATATTCTATTGGAAATGGGATGTACCTCCTGGAATGCTCATCACTACTCTGTATTGGTGCTCAACAAACATTTGGTAAGTCACCTTTATTTGCATTCAAAGAATTTATAAACGTACCTCTCTAATTCTCTTGATTTGAATATAATTTAACCGTCCCCAGTCAAGTTCATCCTTTAAATACATAAAAGCATGATATTTAATATGAATGTAACAATTAGAGCTACTTTGGCTGCTATAATACATGTATCTCACCCAAAGATATATACCAAAAAAATAATAATAGGGCTGTCTCTCAACGGCAGCTTCCCCAGGTCACTCATGTGGTTCAGGAGAGGCTCCATCTGGGCCTGGCAAATGTGAGCGCGCAGACTGACTCGGCAACAGTCTTCCCGACCTCATCAGTTTAGAGCAACAAATCCAGACCTCCCAAAAGGGAAAAGAAAGTGGAGGCTGACAGGCTGAGTTCTTTTACGCCCATCATCTAAAACTTGGCCGAAAATAGCAGGAAGAAAGGCTTCAGGGTCTTAGCTTTGGATCGACACATCCTGGCACACAGCCCCAGGCTCCCGCACCCACAGCTGAACTGGCACCCGCACCAGAGGCCCACGCGCAGGCAAGAAGCAGCACAGGCTCCAGGGCAGGCCCAAGAGCTGCCTCCAGACGGGACAGCAGGGACAGGCGGCGCAGCAGCCAGCCCCCAGGCAAGGCCGCCACCCGAGGACGATCTACGTGCCCCCCACTCAGGTCTGGAGCCCCCACTTTCCACGCAGCAGCACTCAGGCTGAGCTGGAGAAGCCCGGGGACCGCTCCCGGCCAGGCCCGAAGAAGCCAGGCGAGCAGCCGTACCAACCTTGGGGTGCCGGAGCTCTCCTCTCTGTCTGCAAGCCTGCCACGCCTGAAATAATGAGCCTGTGTCAAAACACTTCACTGGCTAATAGAAGCTTTTGTAAAAGTCCAGTTTCAACACATATGACCACCGAAAATTCACAAATTTAATTTTTCAACCAAGTTTATAAACTCGGACTCCCACCCCCATCTACTGCTCCCAACACAGCTCTTTTAATGCTGCCAGAGCAACCCCACCACACGTCACTAGGGAAAGCTTATGGCATGAAAACATGCAAATGGGGTGCATAGCTGCTGTCGCAGCTGGCATGGGAAGACTTACTCTGAATGCCTCAATGAGTGCGATACAGTCACTCTCACTACTGCCAGAGAAATTCACCTTGTTCCTATGAACAGGTAACAAACAATGTCATTCAATACCACTAAAACAAAGTGACTTTTTAAAATATGAATGTCAAATACCTGTATCCATCGAGATGCTGCCTTAAAGGCATTACAAAAAAAGTCTTCAAAGAAAGAGCCGACGCTAACAGGAAGAACAAAGAAGACAGGATGGTCAGCACGGCCTCACACGCCCCCGGGACACGTCCTTGTTCTCACACTCACCTATGATGAGGCACTCCTCCAAGCACCCGAACACATGTCCCAGGACTACTAGTTTACCCAGCTGCTGATTAACAGGGAGCTGGGCCAAAACCCTTCCTAGGAAGGTCAGTTCGCCATCGTGGGGGTTTTCATCTTCCCTCTGCCCGCTGACAGCAAGGGCTCCGACCTTTATAAAAGAAATCAGCACTATTAGCACGCACTGGTGTGTTCGCTCTCCTGCCCCTTAAGGCCGGGAACCTAGAACAGGAAATGAGCACCAGATTCTGGTGAGTGACGTTCTAAAAGATACTTAAGTGACTTAGGAAAGATTGATGCTACCAAAAAAAATTTTTTGACTTGCTTTTTGGAACTTAGATCACATTTTGTTATTTATTAAAAAGGATGATACTGGGAAGTAACATTCAAGGATTCCCCTGCAAAAGTCTGCTTAGCTGACAATTTAGCAACTATGGCATGTGCACAAGACTAAACCAGACTCAAGAGCTGTATGACGGTGGGAGCTCACAGCAAAACGCACTGCACTGTGTAAAGACAAAACTCCCGTAACTTGAAAAAGTGTATCAGAAACACAAGCAGGTATCAAAATACAGACCCCAGAGGCTCCCCCAACCTGGGGGGCCCGAAGTAGAATGTCCACAGCCCTGGAGAAGAACACGCAGCCCAGGTGCGTCTTGCAAAAAGGCACCACCGTGCTGCACAGAGCACAGGCAGGGCGAGAGTGGGGCGTGGGGTCAAACAGGCAGAGCAGAGTCTCCAGCAAAAGCAGGAGAAAGCCAGCAGGAGGCAACGGGCGGCTCGGAGGGAAGGGGACGGGAGGCTGAAGGAGCACCAGCAGGTGGAGCAGCGCCACCCGGAACCCTGTGGTCAGTCCGCACGCCTTCAACATTCAAACAGCAGTGGCATCAATCGCTTTAACATCAGAGTGAGGATATACCTACAAGGGCACATTAAGCACCGTCCCAACCTCTCCACACTGCCAGCAAACTGCCAGCAAACAGCCAGCGTGTAGGAGGGGAAGCGTCCGAGGGCTGAGAGAAGCCGCAGGACGGCCACGGGGCTTTCAGGAGTGCGCATGGAGCGGGGGACCTGCAAGCAGTCCGCGTTCTTCCAGGCACATGCTGATCATTTACAAAAGTCTGAATACCTTAACGATATCGGCATTATGAAACTTTTAAAATTTACCAAAAACAATCTTAGTTTTTCCCCAGCAATAACAAATATCAGGCCTACCTCCTTTAGTAGAAGGATGGTCCGTTCGATGTCACTCAGGCTCGGTGGAGAAAGGGCAGTTGCCAGCAAAGCTCTTGGTTCACCCATGTCCAGTAACTTCACTTTCAATATTGTGCTTCCTAATGGACAACGCTGAAAAGAACACTTAAATTTAGTAATAACGGGATGACTAAATCGATTTACCTATAGTCATTACTAGTGCTTTAGAGAAAACAGATGAGGAGAGGAGAGAGAAAGAAGCCGAAAGAAAAACAGAGTGGAGACAGAGAAAGTGAGAGAGAAGGAGCAGGGGAGAGCGCACAGCAAGGTGGGAAGGAAGGGACAGGGAGGCCAGCCCACAGCCACCAGGCAGAGAAGGCAGGAGGCGGCTGCAACATGAAGGACAGCCCCGTGACCCCAGCGCCACCCTTGGGAAGGTTCCCTCTCGCTAGAAATGGTCAGTGTGTTCAGGGAAGGCCCTGAGCAGTGATCAGTAAGTGGTAAACCAGACTGGGATTAAGACAGGCTTGGGCAGACAATGATTTTTCTGGATAAATATTATACAACACTTAAAATTATATTACTTAGGCTGTTCGGTAAAACCCCATCTACAAAAAATAAACTTTGAAAATACCCCAAGTGTATTACCAACATCTCCGGAACAATGTGGTCAGGGATGGAGTTGTCCCAGAAATCTTTGTGGATCAGTCTGTAACAATACCCTTTAGATACGCGTCCAGCTCGGCCTTCAAAGGAGAAGCATTCACGTGACATTTGGCATTAATTACTTTAATATAGGAGTAAAGATATATTTAAGAATAACCATTAAGTATTAAGAAAAACCTCTGTTATCTTCCACCAGCCCAAGTCAGTAAAACCTTTAAAAGAGTAAGCTAGCCTTAGAAGTCACCCTATCAACACAGATTAAGTGCTGACCTCTACTCACTAATCTATGGTATAAAATCCAATGCATACTTCTAAAGAAAACAACCTTAGCCCCAATATGCAATGGAAATCAAGACATTTTACATAACCTGAATTTCCAGCAAATCCGTAATTCACACTAATAAATGCACAGAGGTCACTAAAGTAAAGAAGCCAGTGCGAGAGGCTGGTGCTCCCGCAGTGACGTAGGTGCACAATGAGAAGGGTGCAGGAGGCTGCCACCACCTCTGTCTGTCCTCACACCCCCACAAAGTGAGGTGCTCATATGAAGGAATGATGACACACCAAGCACCCAGGCCTGGCCTGGTCCTCAGAAGCCATGAACAGCTCTTTTCTACTGTTTCACTTATGGAGTAGAAACTCTTCTATCCCAAAACATAATAAAAACTTCTAAAGGGGGGCTTCCCAGCTTTAAAAACTAGGGCAGCCCAGGAAGGTGCTTTCCTTCCCAGGTGGGGAGTCAGGAGAGACAGGGGTCTGGACTCCTGACCCCTACCACCACTCTGAGGGGCCAGTCTGACTTCTGCCACCATCAGCCCCCAGCCTCATGACGGGCCTGTCTGCATGGGGAATCCCAAGGTAATGACAGAAAACAGAACCCACAACCCCTGGAACCAGGTGAGTTCAGCAGAGTCACGGGATGCAAGATGCACACACAAAACCTGCCCCATTTCTATATGTTAATAATGGACATGTGAGACTAAAAATGCAACGCCATTCACACTCCCTCCAAATAGGACGGGACACTCAGGTCTAAGTCTAGGCTGCACACAGATCCTTTGGTTAAGGAGCCAAAGACAACCTGTTCCCAGGCCTGGAAGACGCAGCGCGGCCAATCACCAAACCTCTACCACCCAGTCTGCAGGCTCAGCTCCCGCCACAATCACAGGCAGGCTTTTCGTAGCTGTCGAGAAACTTACGCTAAAACCTGCACGGAAAGGCGAAGTCAGATAACGACAACTTGAAAATGAAGACTGAAGAGGGAGAAGCACCATGGGATGACTCCAGTGGTCCAGGCAGTGGGGTGTCGGTGGAGGGGAAGGCAGATCGCCAGGCAGTGGCCCACACAGACCCACACCGGCACTCCCCGGCGCTCAAGAGGAGCAGAGCGCCCAGCGGAAGGCGGCTCAGTGGCGCTGCAGCCACTGGACACCCACAGGCAAAGAGACAAACGCGGACCCAACCACACACCTTCTACAAAACCCAGCTCAAATGGAACATAAACGTGGAACATAAAGCTAGGAACCTCTTATAAAGTAACTCAGAAGGAACATCTCTGCTACGAGGTGAAGAGTTCCCACATGTGACCCCAAAAGCAGTGCTACAAAAGGAAGAACTGATAAACTGGGCCCCATCAAAACTTCGAGCTTTTTCTCTACGGAAGACCTTGTTAAGAGGACGAAAGACAAACTACAGAATGGGATGGGAGAAAACATCTGCAAACCTGACATCTAGCAGAGGACTAGCATCAAGGTTACATAAAGAACTCGAAACTGAACAGTGAAAATACAAACAATCCAGTTAGAAAGTGGGCCAAAGACATGAACAGACATTTCACTAAACAGACAATAAACTGAAACTAGCCATAAGGACGTGGAGAAAACGGACCTCATATGCTGCTGGAGGAAGGTAAGATGGTACCGCCACACTGTTTGGGGCAGTTTCTCATAAACTAACATATACTTACCACATCATGCAGGAATTTGCTGGGGTTTATCCCAGAGAAATGAGACCTCAGGTCCACAAGAACCTGTCTGCCTACCAATATTCAGTGGCCTTGTCATTACCCAGAGCTAGAAGCCGCTCAACTATCCGTCCACAGGCGAACATACTATGGACTCAGCCACTAAAGGAGGCACCTGCTGCCACGTGCAGCAGCCCCGGGGTCTACAGACCTTGTGTAAGTGAAGCCAACGTCAACAGGTCACATGCCGCACGATGCCACTCACACAACGTTCTCAGGAGGACAATGCTCCGAAAAGCAGTTGGGCAGCGGGCAGCACGTGCTAGGAGCCGTGTGACTGTGGGGGTGGTTCCTTCCAGGTAGTGGGCAGCTCTGTATCCTGATCGTGGGGATGGTCACGTGACTCTATACACGGCGTCCAGTGTTAGAGAAATGCAGAAACGTGTAAAACTGTGAAATGGACTAAGGCCTGGGGTCTATGTGCTGCACCAACGCCAGCCACCTGGTTTTGTCACCACAGTGTGGTTATACAAGATGTCTCCACTAGCAAGCCAGGGGACAGGTGCAGTGTCAAGGGACACTACTATTTCTGCAACTTCCTACAGGAGCAAAATTTTCTATTAACAGAAATTTTGAACAAAAAAACAGATGAAGGATAATACTCCTATAATTTCAAGAATGACCCAAAGATAATCACTGTTAACATTTCTGTGTATTTATTTCTAGTCATTTTTTTCTAAAAAGTTTTTTTTTTGTTTTGGAGACTTTTTTGGAGGGCACAGGTTAGGCACAGTGAGATGGTGATAGTTTTATTAATCTTTTTGTTCTTTCAACTTGATAACATGTAATTCAGTATGAGTTTTTTTCCAAAATGATGAGAAGTTCTTTATGTTCATACAACTAATTAATATTCTCTCTTCACCCCTCTCTAGGCAGGTCATTTCCAGAGAGGTGACACTGCAAAGTGGCTGAGGATGTGGGCTGAAGCCAGACCTCTGGGTCCCCGTCTCAGTCCCACCACTTCCCAGGGTAGCCTGGCAAGCTACTCCCTCTGTGTGCTGTGGCTGCACCACTGAGAAATCTAGGTGTTGACAGGGCACTGACCCTAGGGAGGCTTTGAGGATTAAATGAGTAGGTACACATAAAACACTAGAACCTTGCCCAGCATGTGTGAGCATTCGGCAAATGTTGTCCCTGTTCTACATTTTGACAAACTTTACTGCCCATCAGGGATTCTTGCTGGCCCTTCACCATCCTCCCCAAAGCTCCCAAGCAAAGCACAAGCCACTTCTCAGGCTACACCAAGAAGCCCGTCCCCACAGGTGACTGCAACACAGTGACTATGTCGCGGCCGCACCTGCCCCATGGCCAATGCCCCTGACCTGCCTGAGGCTCCCCCACCGACTCCCCAGGTACAGCACGTGCTCCAGCTGGAAGCACAGACACTCGGGCTGTCAGAGTCAAGGAGGCCACCCACCGGCGCCTGTAACCGCTCACCAAAAGAGTTTTGAATCCACTAGGAGAGGGGATGGCACTGAACAGACAGGAAGCTTATCCAGTATGTACAAACACTGCCACTGATTTAGTGGACAAGGAGTCGTGGGTCTAAATGGAGAGTCTGAGAATATGCTTAAAACAAAATTGGTTTCAACAAAGGAGTAAAAATATAAACAACTAAGTTTTTTAAAGACACCTGAAAGTGCCACCAACCCATGACTGTGCTGAGACACAAACATCTTACCTTTTCTCTGATTACAACTGGTCTTAGAAGCCCAAGTCAATCGCAGACTCTGATAATTTGTATCTTCGTCACAAACCAGAGTTCTAGTCAAACAAAAATCTATAACTGGCATTAAAAAAAAAGAATGTAAACACCATGCTAACAAGAAATAATTGTGTAATAATCACAATGCATCATGATAAAACAATATGGAACATGCAGGCTTTACAACTGGTATACACACAGAAGCCTCTGGGAACGCACTGGCCATTCTTACTGCCCAGGACAGCGAAGCTGTGGTCACATTCTTTCTCCTAAGGACTGGGGGGCCCTCCTGGGGGGTCTATGGGCACTGAGCACAGGCCCTAAAGACCCAGCATGTCACCAGCGTTATCTGGGCTGCACCTGAGATAGCTTGTCACTGGGTACCACGGCATTGCAGAGCAGGGCTGAAGTGGGACTGCCAGGGTTCGGATCCTGGGTGTGCGTGTGTGCGTGTGTGTGTGCGCGCGCACACGCACGCAGGCTGGGGCATGTTCCTTAGTTTCTCTGTGCTGCAGTGTCCTCATCTCTCAGACCTGGTGACAGATGCCCACCCTGACTACGGCCCGGGCTGCACAGCACAGGCAGGGTGCCATCCTGCCCCCACGCTGAGGAACAGGGCAGCGCTGTCCTCACTGCCCCCTCCGCACCCCTGCAGCTCGCTGCCCTGGTATTCTCCACATTCCTCACTTTGTGGGCTGTCTCTCCCCTCCCAGGATCCCCGTCCCACCATGTACCCCACACCAGCATCACCACACCTCAGTCTCAGTTTTAAGCACCTGCTATGGAGGGTGAACTTCCAGAAGAACTGCCCCTCCCCATCTGAACCCCACCTCACAACCCTCAACCCCTGTAGATGGCCTGCTTCCCACTGACCAAACTACAGGCCCATGACCTGGTACTGGAACCACGCGTGGAATTCCCTCACAGCCCTCCGACCCCACCATGCAGGTCAGGGGCCAAGCAGGAGAGCACACAGGCACAGGCCGTCCCCCCTTTAGCCTCCAGGAGACACAGCCTGAGCCTGGCACCCTCCTGCTCAGGACCTGTCCTCAAGGCTGTGCCCCGCTCTCTCCGCACAGGAGGGTGGGCCCCTGATGTGGAGGCCATGCCAACTCCTGCACCCCCTGGCATTCCCCAGCCCCTCCCCTACCACCCAGCCACGGGGCCACGGGGCCCCCCAGCCCTTCCCCAGCCACGCCCCTTTCTTGCTTCTCTTCTTGGCAAACGCCTCCCTGATGTTGTCTGATGTCACTTCCTCCTGCCACCCCTCCGCCTCCTTCCTGAACCCATTTGAAGCAGGCTTAGCCCCCACTGAAACTGCTCTTGTCAAGGTCAGGATGGTGGCCACGCTGCCGATTCCCACAGCCAGCCACCAGTTCTTCTCACTTTGGCCCACCACCGGTGCAGTGTGCCACTCACCTCATGCTCCAGGCGCTCTCTACTTTGGTTTCTAGCACTTGGCTGGCTGACCTGCAGCTCCTCTCCTCCACACCTGCCCCCTCCTGTGCCCTCTGCAGAGCTCAGCTGTCCACTGACCATACCCTGCAGGTCTGCAGACACAGCCACCTGCTTCCTCAGCATCCCCTCCTGAACCTCTGGCCATGTCTCCAACCTGCCACACCCAAATCCAAGCCACCTGCTCCGCCCCTTCCCAGGCCCCATCCTGAGTCAACCTGGAGCCCCCACAATCCCAGAACCAGATCCCCTGGCAAATCCCCACAGGCTCTGCCTTCAGAATCCACCCTCAACCGGCCATTTCTTCCGCCTCCTGTTCGGAACCACACCAATTCTTGCCTAGACCGCTGAGGCACGCCCCTTCCTTCTCCTTTGCCTTGTCTGGTCTATTCCATGTGCCTCTGCCCAACGAGCTTCACAGAGCGTCATCCCTAGTCTTGAGTCTCGAACGGCCTCCATCTCATGCAGTAAAACCCAGAGTCTCCTGCGGGCCCCGGGAAGTTTGCCATGGCCCCCGTCACGCCCCCTCGGCTGCCTTCCGCTCTGCTCTCCCACTCCGGTCCCGGCCTCCTGGCTGGCCCATGCTCTTGCTCAGGGACCCCATACCCTGTGCTCCTTCTGCAGAGTCACTATTGTAGCCCCCGCTCTTGGCCGCCCCATCTACCATCTCCACTGCCCTCCCCACTACTCCTGCCCTGCACTCCCCGTACACACCGTCATCTCATGTACAACGTGTCACCTTACGTACTGTCTGTCCTTCAAAAGTCCACCGAGTGTGTCACGAGAACACAGACTGACGGTTTGGCTTGCTGCTCCCCCAGGACCGGGCCTGTCCTGGCACAGGGACACTGCTGCCGTCTCCCCTGGTGTCTCTCAGCCACCCTGTCCCCGCCACTCCCTGAACCACGTCTCTCCATGGCTCATTCAAGTCTTGTTCAAATGCCTCTTCCTCTAAGAAGGGTTCCCACATCGCCCTATCTAAAAGGTCATTTTTCCCAAGAACTGAAAACCCTTTTTCAGATTTTTTTTTCCTATTAAAATCACCTCCACCTCTAAGTATGCATATTTTCTACCCAACTGCCCCTCTCTCCCACCAGAAGGCAGTCACCCTGGGGGCAGGGCCTTGTGTGTGCCCATCACTGGACTCCTTGCATTGAGAACAGTGTCTGGCACATGTGAAGCTTCCAAATATGAATTAATGAACTTAGAAAATTCATTAATAAAGCCATCCCACAAAGTAATGAAGGACTTGTGTGTAGAACACCAAATATGAGGGCTCTGCTCCCACGAGGACACAGTACGCTTCTAAGCTGCCCTCAGTAACCCTATAATACCCAAGCCCTGCACACCACCTGCCCCCCCATCATGGAACTGCACCTGGGTGGCCCCAAGCCTACTACTGTCCAGATGATCCTTTGAAACACCCCAAGCACCTCCTGACAGCAAGCTCGCCCCAAAGGCTGCCTGCGGGACGTGGTGTGCACATGGGTGAAGTGCTGACCCACAGGAACGGGAGACCCACGACCCCACTTTTCTTCCGAACGGTGGGAGAGATGGAGGAGGAGGATGAACAATTCCGGGGGTGCCTCTCAGGCTACGGTCATGCCGTGGGGGAAGGCAAGGGGTGCCTTACCGTACTTGACATCTGGGACGGTGATGGAGCTCTCCGTGATGTTGGTGGACAGAATGATCTATCAGACATCAAAACAAAGAACCTGATGTTTTTACATATACTGGAAATCACCAGGCAAAGTTTAAAAAAGCCAACTCAAAAATGGTTTAAAAGCTTCTTAATGTAAATACTGGACTCAAGTTTTTAAATGAGATATTCGCCAGTTTATGCAGTCACAGTTGATCAAGGGCCGCGGCAGGGGAATGGGTTTGCTGCAGTCCGGGCTCAAGAGCCACACCGGCTTGGAGACCCAGCAACGATGTAATGCCTACCCTAACAGGGTTGTTGTGAAGATCGTGAGATAATGCACATGAAGCACTCAGAGCCGCCCCGCGAATCGGGCAGGAAGCGCGGGCTGTCACCTGCAGTGCTATCATATCATTATGGGACACCAGGTTGGGGTCAGGCACTGCAATACTGCTGTGATTTAAGTACAGGTGTATATTATAGTTAACTTTCCTAACAACTTGCAAAGTATGATTGACTTTACTTTTAAATGACAAAAAGAAGTCTTAGACAAAAAGAAGCTCAAAGTCACACAACCACAGGTGACAGAGGACAAGTCCTCTGTTCAGTTCCACATGTGGCTGTCCATCCCTACACCTCAGGGTAAAATTACATCCCATCCTTGCTGACATCACTCAGGGGCCCAAAGGAAGCCCTGGTACAGAAACCCAGCAACACAGCAGGTCAAGAAAGGAGCCACGGGCAGCTGTCTCTGACCCCAGATATGGCAGGCAGCTTCAGGGGCCTGCAGTTACCCAGAGGCAAAAAGCGCCACCAGCTAAAACACAGAAGAAGGGCTGAAGCCTGGGACTTGGGGACACCCTGAAAGATGGAGGCTGCGCCTAGAGACCCAGAACGTGGCACATGAAATCAAAGGCACAGGGTCGCATGCTCGGGGTCCCTGATCACCTCAAGCAGCTCCAGAACAGTTGTGGTGGGACGATCCCACCATGCGAGCATAACCTGAAATCAAAGATATCTTCCTGAACTACTGTGGGTTCTAACCAATGTCGCCAGAGCAGTGCCGGGGACACCAGGAACAGCCCCATCATTCGAGAAATGCCAGGGAGTAAAGGTGTTGAAATCTACTGGTAACAATGTCCTGAAGATGAATTAAACCTTAGCAAAGCAATGTACAAAATAAAAGATGGCATTAAATAACATATCTGGCTCTCAGGCACATACCTGTTTACTAGCTACAGAGTTCATCGTACAAATAAGCTGACACGTTAGCATTTTTCATTAGCAGAGTCTCTAAAGAAAATGCACCTGAAGTGCTTAGAACTTGTCTCCCAGTTTTCCTACCTTTCTATACCCAGGAACTGGGCTTAAAAACACATTATTCTGCTCTTCTAAAGTCACACTTGAATGGAGTGGATAGACCTGTAACCTAAGAAACAAATTAACAAAATAAAATATCCATGAAGCACAGATACACATGAAAACTTACTAAATAAACTATTCATTGAGGTAATTAGGATTATTTCAGTAAAAAACAACATAATGGTTTGGATTCATTTTAAACACACCTTTTGTGAACCATGTTTGTAAGAAGTTCATGCATATGGTTTATCTCACCCAGACCTAGAGAAGAAAAAGAGTGGGAAAAATGAAGATTTATATTTACTGCTACAAACCATCCTTGAAATTAGATGACATCTCTTGCAAAGAAGTCTCTACCAATTCATTTTATTGGACTTTTTTTTATCTTCTTTGCCCAAGTACATCAGAATTAACGTAAAAACGTACAACAACACTGACCACAGGTAACTCAGAAATATGAGAGAATCCATATTCTTCCAGTGCTCAGCGTTTTCCTTCCCACCCGGTGACTGCCCATGAGTGTGGCTGTGTGAGCCATTTTACAGTTCTTTTTTTGGCTGATTTTCCAAATTTCCTACGGTGAGCATGCAACCAAAATATTACAACCAAAATATTACAACCAAAAAATATTTTAAAGGTCTTGGTCACAGAGATGTGTGAAATTTTTTCATTAGGCTTAGGAAACATTTGTTGGTATGAAAAGCCTGCATGTGCTTTTGTCTCACCCTGAAATTATCAACCCCATTATGGATGAAACATTTGTTGGTATGAAAAGCCTGCATGTGCTTTTGTCTCACCCTGAAATTATCAACCCCATTATGGACTGAACTGTGTCCCCCCCAAAAGATGTTAAGTCCTAACCCCAGTCAGGACCTCAGAAATGACGGCTTGCAGTGTGTGCGTCTGCAAGTGCGACTAGTCGCAATGAGGTCACCCTGGAGTGCAATGGGGGTTCAATCCCACAGGACCGGGGTCCCGATGGGACACAGGGAAGAGACCCCTAGAGAGCAGGCCCTGCAGCAGTGGGGGCAGAGGTAGGGGGGCAGCCCTGGAAGTGGGAAGAGGCGAGGACGGACCCTCCCCTTGGAGCCTCAGAGGGAGCAGGGCCCTGCTGACACCTTGGCTTTGAACTCCTGGCTTCCAGAAAAGAGACAGAATAGATTTCTATTGCTTAAGCCCCCCAGTTCTTTAGTACTTTGGTACAGCAGCCCCAGGACACTAACACAGAACCAGTCCCAGGAGACAATGAAAGATACATAAACTTGAACACACATAAACACATGACATGACAGAAGACAATAAACTAAACTGTGAAAAGCATTTCTAAACATTTTATTCCAACAGTGTTTGGCAGTTAAGAAGCACCTCTCTCATGGGAGGTCTCATTAAGCTCCTATCACTGTGGCTCTGCTTTGGTCATTTTTTTCCTCAACACAATGCTCTGCGCATAGTAGTCTTTGACAGTATTTACTCGGGCAAATGCAACTCTGCCCTACTGCCAGCTAATGGGTGCTTCCTGGATGCAAACTAACCCCTATCAACCTAAGCAAAACACGACCACAGTATGACAGGTGAATGCAGCATTCCAGAGTGACTCTTGCCTGCGCTGTCTGCCCTCCACGGCGTCAGTGCACACACACAGCTTCTGACATAGTGCCTTCCAACGACAAACCTCCAAGTTATAGTTATGAGGTTTCATTTAGCTATGCCGCTCAACTAAAAATATCAAAAACATCACTTCAAAAGAGTATAGTTTAACATTAATTAATCTTTCTGAGGATTGTGAGGGCCTATTTTCTCAAATACTGACTCAGGAACTCAAGGACTACCCTGATGATTCTCATCGCATTACGGTAACAAAACTATAATTAAACCAGCTCTAAATGTAGAAGGGGCTCTTAGCTCACTTGTGGAACCATCTACATGGAATCATTGGCAAAGCCAATCATTTTGTTGAAAATTCTGAAGGGAAAGACTACCTTCAAAAAGTTGAAGTCCTCTTTATCACTTTTAGCCATAGGAGGTCGCTGTAATCGGTCAAACTGAAAACCACATTTGCTAAAGGGCTGAAAGGAATGAGCAGCGAACAGCATGTCCTCACGTAGGCTAGACACAGAGCCTCGTGCAGGGAGCTGACTCCAGGCCTCACACTCAGGACACTCACCTGGCAAAAACGCCAACACACTGCTCCGCTCGGACACAGGCTGAGCGCCCAGCCGGGTCTTGTTCCTGTTAAAATGTGAGGTGCACAATGCTAATCGAGGCTGACCCCTAGGGCACAAGGCCCGAAGGTAAGCCGTGGCTGTTGCTAAAAACGATGCATCAGCTGTAACAAACAACGATTCTGGTGCCAGATGCCACTAGGAGGGGAGGGTATGGGGGGCACGTCGGACATTGCTGTTCTTTCTGTTCTATTTGGTGTGAGCCTAAAGCTGCTCTAAAACATCAAGTCTATTTAAAAGGAAAAATATCCACGAGCCCATAATGACATTAAAAGAAAGTGATGTAGGGAGAACAGAGGCAGAGTAATAAAGGGTGAATCAAGGGGGAGGCTCAAGATGGCGGCATGAGTAGGGTGGCGGAAGTCTCCTCCCAAAACCATATATATTCTTGAAAATACAGCAAATACAACTATTCCTAAAAGAGAGACCAGAAGACACAGTACAACAGCCCAGCTACATCTACATCTGGGAGAACTCAGCATCTCACAAAGGGGGTAAGATACAAAGCCGTGGCCAAGCAGGACCCAAGCGCTGCCCCCACCCCAGCTCACTGGCGGGAGGAAAGAATCAGAGTGGGGAGGGAGTGGAAGCCCAGGACTGCTAAACACCCAGCCCTAGTGATCTGCATCGGGAGCACAGACACACATCGCATGGTGTGCTGGATATCAGAGGCATGAAAAGTAAAATCTGAGGCAGCAACTGCGAGCAGATCCCCACAGCCGGCTCCCCTGGGACAAAAAAAGAGCGGGTGCTTTTTAAAACTCTTGAAGGGACAAGGGCTTAACAGCTGGACAAAATCGTCCCGGCACACTCAGCCCAGCAGGCTGGGAATCCTGAGGAACTTCAGGTGCCCCACCCCCCTGCCAGATAACCCAGCCTGGAAGCCCCCACTGTGATAAGCAGCCTGCCATTCATTTCCCCCACCGGCTGGCGCTGCAAGCAAACCGGCTGACCCACCACAGCGGCAGAGCAGCCAGAGAGTGGCCCCACCCACAGCAACCACCCAGAGTCTCCTCCTAGCACGCCGCTACCCAGGACAGACCCAGAGGCAGCCGCGGGCATGTAGCTGCCCAACACAGACAGAGGAAGCCACAGTAGGGTCCAGAGGGCAAGAGGGGGGCCGTTCTCACAGGAGAACACACCCTATGCGTCTGCACTCCTTGCAGGGCCCTAGGCTATCCCGAGGGCCACCCCGCCCATGGCAGCTCAGAACATTACCCCAGAGACTGCCCCCTGTCTGCAGGTAACCAACACAGGCAGCAGAGAAGGGCAAGGCAACTAGCAAGCAGGAAGGGACTTTGTTCTCCCAGCTGACACATGCACCACCTGCCTATGACCACTTCTGTCGCCATGAAAAGGCAAAAGAATCTGGTCCAGACAACCCCAGAGAGAGGCCTGGTGAGAGAGATATAACCAATCTTCCTGAAAAAGAATTCAAAATAAGTCATAAGTATGCTGATGGACCTGCAGAGAAATATGCAAGAGTTAAGGGATGAAGTCCTGAGGGAGAATACAGAAATGAAACGATCTCTGGAAGGGCTTAAGAGCAGACTGGACGAGGTGCAAGAGGCTGTTAATGGACTAGAAATCAGAGAACAGGAACACAGAGAAGCTGAGGCAGAGAGAGATAAAAGGATCTCCAGGAATGAAAGAATATTAAGAGAACTGTGTGACCAATCCAAACGGAACAACATTCACATTATAGGGGTACCAGAAGAAGAAGAAGAGAGAAAAAGGGATAGGAGGTTGTCTCTGAAGAAATAATTGCTGAGAACCTCCCCAAGCTGAGGGAGGAAATAGTCTCTCAGACCATGGAAGCCCACAGAACTCCCAACACAAGGGACTCAAGGAGGACAACACCAAGACATATAATAATTGAAATGGCAAAGATCAAAGTCAAGGACAGAGTATTAAAGGCAGACAGAGAGAGAAAAAAGGTCACCTACAAAGGAAAACCCATCAGGCTATCATCAGACTTCTCAACAGAAACCTTACAGACCAGAAGAGAATGGCATGATATGTTTAATGCAATGAAACTGAGGGCCTTGAACCAAGGATACTATATCCAGCACGATTATCATTCAAATACAAATGAGGGATTAAACAATTCCCAGACAAACAAAAGTTGAGGGAATTTGCCTCCCACAAACCACCTCTGCAGGGTATTTCAGAGGGACTGCTCTAGATGGGAGCACTCCTAAGGCTAAATAGATGTCACTAGAGAAAACAAAATCACAGCAAAGAAAGCAGAACAACCAAATACCAACTAAAGGCAAAAAATAAAATCAACTATTCACAAAAGCAGTCAAAGGAAAGACAAAAGAGTACAGAATAAAACACATAACATAAAAAGAATGGAGGAGGAAGAATAAGAAGGGAGAGAAATAAAGAATCACCACACTGTGTTTATAGTAACTTAATAAGAGAGTTGAGGTAGACAGATAGTAAAGAGGCCACACTTAAACCTTTGGTAACCATGAGGTCAAAGCCTGCAATGGCGATAAGTACATATCTTTCAATAATCACCCTAAATGTAAATGGACTGAATGCACCAATCAAAAGACACAGAGTAATAGAATGGATAAAAAAGCAAGACCCATCTATATGCTGCTTACAAGAGACTCACCTCAAACCCAACGACATACACAGACTAAAAGTCAAGGGATGGAAAAAGATATTTCATGCAAACAATAGGGAGAAAAAAGCAAGTGTTGCAGTACTTGTTTCAGACAAAATAGACTTCAAAACAAAGAAAGTAACAAGAGATAAAGAAGGACATTACATAATGATAAAGGAGTCAGTCCAACAAGAGGATATAACCATTATAAATATCTATGCACCCAACACAGGAGCACCAGCATATGTGAAACAAATACTAACAGAATTAAAGGGGGAAATAGAATGCAATGCGTTCATTTTAGGAGACTTAACACATCACTCACTCCAAAGGACAGATTAACCAGACAGAATTAAGTAAGGACACAGAGGCACTGAACAACACACTAGAACAGATGGACCTAACGGACATCTACAGAACTCTACACCCAAAAGCAACAGGATACACATTCTTCTCAAGTGCACATGGAACATTCTCCAGAATAGACCACATTCTAGGCCACAAAAAGAGCCTCAGTAAATTCCAAAAGATTGAAATCCTACCAACCAACTTCTCAGACCACAAAGGGAGGAAACTAGAAATAAATTGTACAAAGAAAGCAAAAAGGCTCACACACACATGGAGGCTTAACAACATGCTCCTAAGTAAGCAATGGATCAATGACCAAATTAAAACAGAGATCAAGCAATATATGGAAACAAATGACAACAACAGCACAAAGCCCCAACTTCTGTGGGATGCAGCAAAGGCAGTTCTAAGAGGAAAGTATACAGCAATCCTGGCCTACTTAAAGAAGGAAGAACAACCCCAAATGAATAGTCTAAAGTCACAATTATAGAAACTGGAAAAAGAAGAACAAATGAGGCCCAAAGTCAGCAGAAGGAGGGACATAATAAAGATCAGAGAAGAAATAAATAAAATTGAGACAAATACAACAATAGAAAAAATCAATGAAACCAAGAACTGGTTCCTTGAGAAAATAAACAAAATAGATAAACCACTAGCCAGACTTCTTAAGAGAAAAAGAAAGCCTACACACATAAACAGAATCAGAAACAAGAAATGAAAAATCATTACAGACACCACAGAAATACAAAGATTATTAGAGAATACTATGAAAATCTATGTTAAAAAGCTGGATAACCTAGAAGTAATGGACAACTTTCTAGAAAAATACAACCTTCCAAGACTGACCCAGGAAGAAACAGAAAAATCTAAACAGACCAATCACCAGCAATGAAATTGAATTGGTAATCAAAAAACTACCCAAGAACAAAACCTCCAGACCAGATGCATTCATGGCTGAATTTTACCAGACATACAGAGATGACAGAATACCCATTCCCCTTAAAGTTTTCCAAAAAATAGAAGAGGAAGGAATACTTCCAAACTCATTCTATGAAGCCAGCATCACTCTAATACCAAAACCAGGCAAAGACCCCACAAAAAAAGAAAACTACAGACCAATATCCCTGATGAACATAGATGTTAAAATACTCAACAAAATATTAGCAAACCGAATTTAAAAATACATCAAGAGGATCATACACCATGATCGAGTGGGATTCATCTCAGGGATGCAAGGATGGTACAACATTTGAAAATCCATCAACATCATCCACCACATCAACAAAAAGAAGGACAAAAACCACATGATCATCTCCATAGATGCTGAAAAAGCGTTCGACAAAATTCAACACCCATTCATGATAAAAACTCTCAACAAAAGGGGTATAGAGGGCAAGTACCTCAACA